TATGCAAGTAGCATATGGTTTTCCGGTAACAAAGCATCTATTTAAAAACAAAATAAAATTGACAATACCAAATGGCCAGATACCTATAAAAAAAAAAGCACCCAGAAATGTCGTAAAGAGCCTTGTATGGTGAACTTGGCTGGCAAACAATTATATCTATTTAATCAGAAAGATTATTAACTTACTTCTATAGACTAAAAATGTAGAAGAACAACGCTGGCCAAGATTATTATTTAGTTGAGTTATTATTTAGGGCTCTCTTTGCGCTTAAAGAAAACTGAGTTGGAAATGGCTTCTTTGAGTCCATTTTAAATAAATTCGATCTAAAAATATTATTTATTATTGAATATTGTACATAATGGCTTAATGGCTTGAAACAAAAGCATTAAAAAAGATAACATAATGTTGGTATAATAATGCTTAAAGTAAATCATCTTTAAAACATTACAAAAGATATAAAATTAACCTAAAATGGAGAAGTATTTATTAGGAAAGTGTAACTTTCATTGATCAAGTTCAAAATTTAAAGCTCGCTCTAACTCACTACCTCTTGAAGGAAGAAAGGAATCTTGTCACCTCAAAATTTAGGCTTATGCTTATTATGTAACTATGCGACAAAGGAACCCAACAATCATTTGCATTTGATTGTACCAGACTAAATAACATTTGAAATTTACTATTATACCAACTTAAAGAGGAGCACAAGGATTTACATATGTTTTGGGAATAATTCACATCAAGCTCCCCTGAAATTCAATACCATCTTTCATTTATCATTTAGAAATCCATTACAAATTGTATAAACTCTATTAATTATATACGGTATTACGAGTAAAGTTTCCACATTGATTAAGTTTATACTGACTTTCTAATTGTTGCACATCTTTTACGGTTGTGCCTCTGTTATAAAAGAGAAGCAATAACGTTACTTACTTATAACTGCAGTGTATAGCAAAAATCCGTAGCGGAAAATGGTGTGAAATGTAAAACGTGCTATGGTATGGTATGGTATGGTAAAATCAATTGGTGAAGCGCCTTTTTCTAGAAAAAATTATAAGATCATAGTTTGAAAAAAGTAGGTTTTCATATTCTTTTTGAAATTGTGAACAGATAAAGAGTTCCTTAATACCTGTAGGAGGGAGTTCCAATGCTTGAGACCAGTTGCAGAGACGTCCAGCATTAATAATGATTGTAAATCAATACAGTATTTAATTAACAAATCCATAACATGCCATTCATTCAAATATTTACAATGCATTATGATCCAAAACCAATTTAAAGTCTGCACTCCAAAGATTCCATTATGTAACCTTACCGGAATGTCAATCAACTTAATACTGTAACCGTAACGTATTATTCAATAGACAGCGCCAGAAAATACGCACATGTCCCATAAACAACATACGACTTTGTACGTTACGGTTGTCATTTCATAGGACCTTAGCAGCAGTGGCGGTTCTAGTATACATTTTCTGGCACATCTAGATGTGTATAAGAGACAGAATCTGTCCGACAGAGGGCTTGGGCTCGAATGCCTGAGGAGCGGTGTCACCTGCCATTTTTTAATATAGGGAACTCTGGATGGCCGGAAATTTCACTCTACGACTGTGAAGGCATGTTTTGACTTCGTGTAGGACTATTTTTATTTATTTTTTTTTGGTCAGACTATATACCCTACGAGCTCTGCCGGTGGGGAAGGGGAGGCTTGACTTAGCAGGCTCATTCACAAATGGCACATAATTAGCCCTATTGTTTATTTTAGCATATGTCTATGTATAATTGTTTTCTTTGTTGGACGTAGTCACATAAACTGAACTTGCTATTCCTTAACTCACATCAAATTTTATTTCAGGAATTATACAGATATATACTGTACATCAGGCTAAAATTAGAATGGTTGTTTTGCACAAGCACAGTGTCATTTTTGATATCAAGGTCGGTCAGCTGAGTCGTGGGCGATTTTTTTAATTACAGTCCTAGGTCTAATACTATAGAGTTCATCGACAACCATTAGCCGGTAATTATCTTATGCATTTTGGTTGGTGAACTTTTAATTAGGAATGCATGGTTAAGGTATCATATCGATTAATTAATACTTACTACCATACAAATGAGGTAAAATGTTTGTTTTTGAAAGAAGCTGACTCAAAATACGTTTTTGGTCGGTCGGGTTTAGGAGACACAAACAAAAGTATGTTCCTTGTTTGCCAAACATTATACCGTAGTCAAAATAATATCACAATACTCAAGGTACGATCATCGGATTGTCTATGATGCTATGATCAATACATTGAACATTTGCACTGAACTGGCTGTTATTATTAATAAGATTATGGAAGTGTTAATTTATTTGCAGGCACGTTAGTGAAGTGATATGTTTATTATTTTCTTTAGCATTAACATTAGTTTGGATAATTTTCTTTAATGATGCGCATACATTAAAACAGTGGCGTATCTAGGGGTGGGGGTGCACGCCCCTCCAAAAAATTACTCGTGCCTCCCCACTCTCCCCCACCCCTAAACAAAAATCACGTCAAGTAGTTAAAAATCACCTAAAATTACCTTATTTTGCGAATTAGCTCCACTCAACCGATCATCGATCCCCCACCCACCACCTTCTCCCCCATTAGTATGTAGCAGTTTCATACCACTATTATCAAACATGGTGTGTGTATTTTTAGAGAATTTTCACTTTATTTTAACTTTAACTATTTAACCATCTTTGTATATAAAGTCCAACGACCTCATATATCTTCACATGGTACGGTCGTTTAGACAGCTACCTAAGACCCCCTTAAAGATAATAAATACATTGATTAAGCAGTCTGCATTATTTTGGAATGTAGTCACTCCCCTGGCATAAAATAAGGCCACTGTAATTCTCAATTCCTATTGGTCATAGGGAGTGATTGGTGATGCCATATATATCACAACTATCTGAACCTTTGGGTACTCCGTTGAATTACACCTTTTGATAAACAGTACTTCTTTATTGTTTCAACTTGTATATTCTTTGTTTGCCGATCTACACCTCAAGTGTTTTTTTATCTAGCATACGTTTTTCACTTGGAAATAAATTGCACAGTTTTATATGTTATTAGTTTGTTGTTAACTATTGTTACGTTTACAACTACTAAAAGTACCCCCATTTCAAGACTTTTAGGTACGCCACTGCACTAAAAAATAAAGTTCAATCTAAAGAGCGACTAGAGGTCTTTCAATTTCACTCTTTCTCGAGAGAAAAAAAAACTTTAAAGAGTGAGTTTTATTCTTAAAATAGTGAAAAATTTGAGAAACTCGATCTTAAGTTTCACTGATTTGTTTAGCCTATCTCAACTGAAGTTTCACTATAATATGTAATCTTTCTTTTCTCGCTCTATTTTTAGTCTATCCCTTTACTTTTTCAATCGCTATCTCTCCCCCTCTTTCTCTCGTTAGAGGGTACGTAGAGGGCAATGCACTGGTTTACCTAATTAATATTATTAACCGTACAGATAGGCTTTCTTGTAACGCAAACCGACCAGCTAAAAAGCAAACTTAATCTTGTCTGATAACTTGACCTCTTAATAGCAATGATGATACTGGTAATACCGTACTGGAAATCGGAAAAGTTCTTATTTGTCCAATCTGAGTCTTGTATGACTACCGTACGTAAAAAGTAACGGTACAGACTGGGTATGGCAATCGTTGAATAAATTTCACTAAACAATACGACACTGCAATATGTACATTTGTAATACCCTAGAACGTACTACACTACATAATGTTATAACCATAGAGATATAATAAGAATTTAATAGCTCTATGGTTATAACACAACTCATCAGATCTCATTATTATTATTATTATTATTATTATTATTATTATTATATAATAATCACATTACATTACATCACACCACATTACATCACACCACACACAAAACCAAATCACAACACGTACTGTACTACATCACAACATCTCACCACATCACATTACACCCATTTGTAGCCTACTTAGCCTATCTGTTCCCGTTCATACCTAATATATTACACCAAATAACAAGGCACATTAAAACAGGTATAAAAATAAACAACACATGGCAACATACACACTTTTTTTTTATAAGAACCAGTAAAATTTTGCCCAGGCTCAGTGTTCTTATTTTTTGGCCTTCAGGCTCAAAATATTCTTATTTTGTTCTTAGTTTACACACCTTTTAATCAAAAAATTATTTAATTGTACGGCAGTATGCACTGTACTGGAATGTACAGAATTGTAGAAAAAAGAAAGTGTATTACGATTCACGTAACCAAAGTTGCCAAAGCACAAATTCAAACACAGTCACGACAAGTCACACCACATCACCTCGCATACCATCACAACACATCATACATCACGACATCACAAAACATCGCTTTACAACGTCACACCGCCTCACATCACTTTACATACCATCACACCATCAGACATCACGACACATCACAAACAATCTCTTTACAAGACATCTCATCACACCATACCACATCATATCATACGGCATTAGACATCACATCACAAAACATCGCTTTTCACATACCACATCAAACATCACGACATCACAAAACATCGCTCTACAACGCATCACACCACATCACATCACCTCGCATACCATCACACCGCATCATACATCACGACACACAATACATTAGGGCCTACATCACACCGCATCATATACCACGTCACGACACCACAAAAGATCGCAATACAACACATCACATCACCTCACCTCCCATACCATCACACCACATCAAGACACGACACATCAAAAAATGCCGCTTCAAAACATCACATCACATACTAGAATATGTAATACTGTATAATACAGTTACTGTACTGTACTATAATAATAATATAATATAATGTGCTGTATCTGTTGTCGGTCGTTGTTATGAAGAGTCCGGTAACCAACGAGGTCAAACTGAACCGTGACACAGTGTTTGATTTGATTGGATCTTTGATTATTCAGGAAATGGTATTTCTGTTTATACCTGTCCATGAAGGATGACCTTGGTTTGCTGAGCTCGGACAAGAGAGGTGGATTACGATTGCCACACCAAATACACTCCTGTAATTCTATTGTGGTAGACAATCCGTCCGGAGTTCATTTATGTGATTCACGCTCAACGAGTTAACATCTTCTGGTTTGAATAGAAATACACCGGGTAGATCGTAACTTGTATCTATAGTGAAAACTACTGTACTCGGAATTTATACGTAAAACTACTTGGAATTTGACAACTTGCACTGGAAATGCGCTGGTGGTGGAATGCAAGTCAAGTAAAATGGATTATTTTAACGGTACTTATTGCTATGGGCACAAGTCGCATTAATGTCACCGCACAAAACTGTAAGTTCCTACCTCCTTGCTTGTACAATCCCCTGGTAACCACGTCTGTGGTACAACTAAAGGTCTACAATATCGGATATAATCCGGGAATACTATGTGTGACAATTTTGATTTAATCAAGGACTTTAGCGTCTCGAGTGTAGGCCTACAGTACTCCTTCTCTCTTATACACATCT